CCTCGTCCTCGCGCTTGAAAATCGCTGGAGTAGCAAGACCGCGTGCACCAGGGGGTCTGTAGGCTCCTGCAGGTTTGGGTGTAACGGGCTTAGCGGTCAGAGCCGCAGTCAACACACTGATTGAGGGCTGGGGTGCAGCAGGGATAGCCTGGCCAAACGGTGGTGCCTGATCAAATGGCGTAGGTCTCCATGATGCCTGGTATAACTCCTCAACCAGTTGGACGTGCATAAGTCCTCCAGTGCAATGCCAGACTTTCATTCCGTTGTCCACACGAAGACGAGGAGACAGGGTAGCTGTCAAGAGGAACCTGCCGCAGGGCGACCACTCGCAATATGACGTGTTTGGCGCGTCGATGGTACATATCTTCGTCAACGTTCTTCTGTCGAAGATATCAATCTTTCCTGCCAGGTTGCCGAAGCCAGCGAGTGCGACAAGGCGACCTTGCGGATTGAAAGAGATGAAGTTGTGGGGAGAGGATCCAAAATCATGGAGCGTCCGCACGCGTTGATCAAAGAGCGTGGTTTTAGCAGGCATGTCTAAGAAAAGATGCCGGTTGTTAGTGCAACTTCCGTGAGCAAAAGAGACAACTAACATCCATAGACAACGCCAAATTCTTTCGAGTTTGGGCTCCACGAGACGTCATGGATCGGTCCCTCCTTGTCCAGGGTCACGCGGCAGTCGAAATTGCCAGCGGCACTGAGGAGGTACATACCGGTCTCGCCGTAGTAGTTCATGTTTGAGTTATCCACCTCTGTTTGTGTAAGGACGAGCACCTGCGTGCCAAGATCGTTCCACTTGATCTGGGCGCGATCCGCCTTGTAGAAAGTTTTAGAGCAAGTTGGAGCGCCAGAAAGTGTTGATAGGCCGTATATCTTGACAATTGCAGGGGCACCCTGAGAAAAGCACACTTAGTAAAAGAATGTACGTATCATGAGGGAAAAGGACGATACCTTCTTCTCAGCAATAAAGACTGCAACGGACGGGTTCAATCCAGGACTGAGGGAGACCATCGATGCGCCTTCGACGCGCAGCTTATCGGCGATGCCCTTCCCCCATTCAGCAGGACGGTAGACCTGGATCTCCTGAGCAACAAGACGAATGGCGTGCGACTCAGATATGGTATACTGAAGGTCCCAGTTCTCCAGCGACTTTTGTGTGAAGGAGATGAGCTCCTCGCCAGTGGAGGCAGAGAAGACGCGGAGATTCTTGTGCTGGGCGCCATCCTCCAGCTTTACTGCAGGGAGGCGTGTGAAGTGAGATTTTGCCGATGCTCTGAATGATATACACGAGGCGTACCTGGCCGCTCCCATGTAGAGAGGTATGTTCCGCGCGGGGAGAACTTGAGTTCGATAATGTTTGGAACGCTCAGTTCTTGGAGTAGCTGTGCGCCTTCGGCTAGAAAGATCCGCACGCTGCGGGGATCAAATTAAGTCAACCAGGTGGATCGCGCGAGCACGAAGCAAAACGTACACAGTTGGTAGCGCGTATGCGAAGAGACGGCCGTCGGGGCTGTAGTGGTATGTGCGAGCTGGGACATCGGGGGCAGCGAATCCCTCTATTGGCATGTATGTTGGTGTGCCGCCGACGAGGCCCATGCTCTTCTGTGCGCGGACTACAAAATTTCCATTACGTTAGATCAAAAGCAAACGTTGGACTGAGTAAATAATTTAACGAACAAGCATATTGCTGGGAGAGCTGGGAGGCCATTTTTTTGTGCTGAGGAGACGGAGGGGGTGGGAACGAAGCAAGTGAATGCTTCACGGAGGAGAGTGTCGGTGGAGGGAGAAGATCAAGGATATAAAGCCCAATCAATGCACAGCTGAATTCAAACAAGATCTACTTTAGGGCAAGCAGTGTAAATTGCTCGGTTACTTACAAGTTGACCTCGAGGCTTGTGCTCTTACTATTATGTTACTTGTACCAACCCTCTTTGGCTGTTTTCGCATGAAATCGGACAGGGCTGATGCCTGAAGACTAATAACAAGGCGAAAGCGATGAGCGACATTCAAACTTCAACTATCGAGAAATACTAGGGCTCGGTGACATCTTTCGCAGTGATCCTCGAGAGAAATGAGGATTGAAGATTCCATCCGACATTCCTCTCGAGGAAGAAAACCTACCATCCTCAGGCTGGATCCAACTGCTTTCACGTTCATTCACTCAAACTCTATGATATATTTCGTAGTGAAGTTGTCTTGAAAGTGGAAGCAATTATAGTTTGTCCCAAATCTTTAGCGGTGCGTCTGTGCTGGCTAGATGAGTCATTGATGGATTCATAGCTCATGGCGGTTTCAGGAAAAATTCGCCATTTTGCACCAACGGGGCCTCGCAAGTTGCCCTGTTCAGCGAGAATCTCTTTGGTGCTTCAGCGGCGTTCGGCCGTCATACACCGTGAAATTTCTGCTCATCTGATTGGCTCACCTCCACAACGAACGTTATACGCACTGGTACATTCTTCATTTTACCCTTTGCCCGTAACCCCATTACCTCACTGTCAGATTTGAAACCCCAAACTCTCAGCACCGGTTGGCCGCTTCAAAAGATCTGTATCAAGTTTTTGGATTTATCCGAAGGAAACTCGTTGACGACGCCGACTTCACACAACGTACACCGGTTTGTGGGTAGCCGGGCTACCCACACTTGCACAGTATTGAGTCTATCAAGGCCCCGGTCTTCACGGGTTACGACTTGGGCCCCTTTCGATACTCTGATGCTTCGCAGTTCTTTCCTTAACTACCTAGCTTCCCTGGAAAGCCCAAGCTCTTCAACATCTGCCCAGCCCATGATTTGGTCATCCTGTGAGGGATACGTACTTCGTGGGCATTGACGTTTCGGCGTGTCATTCGTTCACAAACCCGATAAACGCACCTCCATGAGCTACTATTTTGGACAAATGTTGGTTTCAATGCGCTCTTAGTTGCACGCTTCGGGTAACAATTACGTGCCTCGGCGCCAGATGAGATGTCAGCGATAACCGCCCTGCCACATTCTTGGACAACATCTGGTCTTACCTGCTAGGCGAATATCGGATCATCGCTTGTTCAAGCGACGACCCGTTGCGCGTATGGAACTTGGAGAGTAGGGAACAGATAGGGGAAGACTGGAGAGATAGAGAAGGTACAGTGTAAGTAATCCGTGGTGTCGTCTCCTGACGGGAAGATGTGGTTAGCAGTGATAGGGATGTGGGATACAGAGAGGGACAAGTGTTCATCAAATGAACGGGGAACACCGGTGAAGTGCTGTTTGACTGTTGGAGTCAAGATGTAGGGCTGATCTATTAAATGATAGAACAGCAAGTATGTGAGATGCAGAGACAAGAGAGACCATCCTCGAACCATTCGAGACAGAACATTCCTACGTGGGTATAGTCATCTACTCCAGAAACGCGGACTAGTGGTTAATTTCATTGAATCTTATCAGTGGCATGCCCCGAGCGCGCCGATGGCGTCGATGGGGGTTGTTCTCGTCACTCCGGACCTCACATGAAAATTCATGATAAGCTCGTGTATTCATCCTGACTCTATGAAACGTAGAGTTATTTTTTTCTTATTTTTGCAAATTCTGAACGCCGAAGCAAGAGAATCTGGATTGGCATGCCAAGGCAACCCAACGCTGTCCTCATGCCCTTGACAGGTCAATGTAAACTCGGCCTATACCGTTCACACTCCGAATTTCGAGGCGGTTCTACCAGAACGGTCTACAAGACTTCGCAGTTCAGGGTCGCAATTAATATCGCGGCTTTCATAATGCATCATTGGAATGTATTCAATCAGATTCGGCATTTGAAGTGCACTGCACTGCGCGGATCGGGATCAGTCTATGACAACCTGTATGTCGCAATCCCCTCAAAATCGTTCCTCTTTGTGCAGACTTTCCGCTCTCGGATTGCGCTACATGGCAAATCTGTGGCTCGTTTCGGTTCCTACCTACTACTCTCCTATGGTCTGGTGTTTCGTCGGATTTCTCCGAACTCACACTTGCGGAAATTCTTTTGTTACTGGCTAATATCTGAAGACTTAACGAGAATATAGATCCGTTGCCGGATTTTAAAACAACTCACTATTAGCTCGAAGGACAGTGTGCGCATGCCCGCATCACCTAACTGTTAATGAGGGGTGGAACTTTGTGACACTGATAGAGTGTCGTAAACCGCTCACTAATTGTCCTCATCCCCTCATGATCTTATGAAGTTTAAACTTGCCTGTTCGCGCACAAATCCTAATCATCGCAGCCTTCTTTCTCGCGGGGCTAAGTGACTCGGAGAGTCCAATTAGACTGCCGGTGACCCTTTCCTACTAGTACATGTATAAGTTTACGTACTTCTGCGCAGAATTTCGGGTGCGTTCGGGTGCTAGCGTGCGAATATTTTGAAACTGTACAGCACGACCAGGACATCCTGGGATTAAGTTTCATAGTACTATCTTAACCGCATATCTTGAGCTCAGACCTGATTGTAAATTGAAGTACTACGTACCCTTGTACTCATAATCTTACGGTCATATTACCATCTAGCAGCTGCACAACCAGCCATGACATCAAACTTTGCTGAGATTCAGAAATAGGAGTCAATGATCAGTCAATTGTTGTATCGCGCACCAGAAAATTATATTGTGCAACTTGGTGTTAGACGTAGCACCATACAACGTTTAGTACATTGGCAGTGTAATCATTATTCTCCACGCTCGGTAGCATCCGAATGGGAACGGTGCAAATTGATTCTGCCTTGATGACGTACGGCTCTTTATGAGCGCTGAGAATGAAATCATTTCGAAGAGGCTATGTAAAAAATCATCACACTGCAATTCTGAGAAAATTGCACCACGGATCATATGACAGAAGCTTAGCTGTCAAGAATCTCAGGGGTTTACTTCCACTTTGGGTCTCCGGGCTGGCACTGCATGACCGACCGTCGACCATTCGGAGGATGGTTAGTTACGTTGACCTGCCATGGCCTTAAAAACCCAAATCAGTTCCCAGGCAAAATCGTGTAATATAAAGGCAATGATCTTGCAAAGGCTTCCATGTATCATTCGTACGACTTCCCGTGTCATCTAGAACCCGCAACCCAGAGTTCAGAAGGAGCATGTATTTGCAAAAGTAAGGTTATCTCACCCACTGTAGACCATGAACATATGAGCTTACCATGAATAAACATTCAAGGTCCAAATCGTTACAAACAACCCCCATGCTGATGTCATCTTCACGGTTAGGGCATGCTCCCGATCAAGGTTTAATGAAATCAATGCTGCAGTCATACCTCGAGTGCCTTGATCGACGCAATGACAGGCTGAACATTGTTTACAAGGAAATCCTAGAAATCCGCGCCCGCATTGCAGAGATTCATACCAGTTGTCAATTAGAAGTCGCCGTGGGGGATGAGGGTGCATTAGACAGCAGCGTTCACCTCCAAGCAATCGTCGATGATTGGCCTCGGACCATCATGACAGCTGCATTCGATGAGCTCAATGTCATTTCACAGTCGTTGACTCCGCTCGAACTCTCCATCTTGGAAGAGAAAACAGCATTCCAAGGCCAGCTTTCAGATTTAGAGTACGGACCTTCAGAGTCTACTATTACCCTGCCAGAGGGTGCGGATCTTCTTCAAGGTAAGTTCGTGATACGTGCAGCCTTTCAAATGCTGACCCCAAGAAAATTCTAGAGATTCGCACCCACATTACGGAACTTCTTGCCAGCGTCCAATCAGAAGTCACCATGCCGGAGTCGGGCATACCGGATAACAGCGCTTACCCCCAATCAGTCGTCGGTGATGAGCCTCAGACCATCGCGTCATTTGCGCTCGATGAGCTCAATGATATTTCACCACTGTTGACTTCGCTTGGGCTCCCCCTCCTGCCAAAGTCACTAGCGTTCCATGGCCAGCTTTCGGACCAATGGTACGGTCCTTTTAATTCTGTCGGGGATATGGGATCACTGCCAGAGGATGCAGATCCTCCCTTCGGTCAACGTTCCCAAGGTAAGTTCCCTATGTTCGTAGCATTTCTTCTAAACGCTTACCATGTGCGGCAAGACCGCGATACCGCTGGTTTTATTAGCCATCAATTCGGTGCACAATCCTTCCCCCACCAACATGACATATACCCTGAGGGGCAGACCTTTCCGGGGTCTTCGTCCATACATGACCAACAACTCCCTCTCCCCATTGTGCAGGTTAGCCACAAAGTAAAGTGCACCTGGCCCGGATGCACGAGGTTCCTCCAGAAGGACAGCCTCACCCGCCATGTGAATGAAACACATCGGCGGAAGGTTAAGGCTGTCTGCGCTGACTGTGGAAGGAAATTCACGCGCCGGTATTTAAAGACGGCTCATATCTGCCGGGCGAAAATGTAGAAGAGTTTTCCACACACCCAATGTGACTGCGTTTCAAAGTCATTCTTTTCGGGAGCGCTCTGTAGGATACCAACGTTCTCTTGCTGAAAGTCCTAGAGTAAGATATAAGAGTCTCCAAAAGAACGAGAAAGAAAATATACACCAATGTGAATAAGATCGTTGATGGTTGCTTCTCGTGTGGTCATCTCGATGCTCCCTAAGCACATCTTATGCAACTCATTTGAGAGTTGCAACAAGAACGGGAGGAAGCGATGGAGCCTGCTCTGGACTGAGGAGACAGATCCAGTATGAGAGTTATACCTGTTACCCAGGTTCATTAACGTCGAGCGGGATGTCGACCCGAGGTGTCTTCTTTCGAGGTAGGTGTTCTAAGGGATGATCATTATCGTCTTTGTGATTGGCGGACATCATCTTGTTATGTGTCTCGGTCAGCAGGAGCATTTCGAGGGTGGAAATACTTACACGAGTTGTAGTGACAATTTGCATCTCTTGCAAAATTCAAATTCTGATGGGATTTGGCAGATGCGGCAAGTATTGCAGATAGCATAGAATCGATATACAAATAAATCATCAGTCAGAGAAGATATACCATACAACAAACGTGGATGAGTGCACGAAGTTAACTGCGACCGTCAGCACCACCGCGGCTGCTATTTGTTGTACCATCCTGGCGGGGGATGACAACGCGTTCCAAGCGCCATCGAGGAGGCGTCCTCAGTCTGCCATGAGACCAGCACGAATAGTAGCAGAGGAACGCCTTGAACCAATGCACATCTGGGAGCGAATCAATGTCAGATGACTCGATATCCCGCTGCCCAGACGGATATCGGGTGTCGTCTGCTTTCCTGTATTCCGGCAAGTTAGCAGCAGCTAGCCGCTAGAGTGAACAAGTCAGCAAGAGGTGCTGAAAGGTGAGAAAATGTACGTTACAGTGAACTTCCGTCCAGCTGCAACTTCAACAACTGGTGGCCCGTGACTATGTCTTGGCACGAGGAAAGGAAGGTTCTGCCGTATGAATTGCGTGACTCCGGTGGAGGGGGGAGGCGGAGAACTTATTTCGAACTGGATATGCACTCAGTCATACATTACAAGTTTACTGAAACTCGAGACTGACCTGATCAAACTGAGTTGCAACCTGCCCCGAGAGAGAGTGGGGCAGAGGCGATGTAGCCGGAACCTGTGGTACTATCGTCAGTGAATTGCAAAAGAACGAGATGCACAACCTACATCCAGGGGATTACGAGGTTGAACGTGCCGAACAGGTGGTATATTTGTGCGAGGAGAGAAGTGGAAAAATTTGCTGAGGCGAAGGGAAATGGGTTGCCGCGGATCTATTGTAGGCAGAGGTCTTTGGAACATAGGTATGGTGGATATTGGTTGTCTGCGATGCCTGGCAGGAGGATGGCGAGTTGCGTCAGACTACAATGATGGTAATGGATGAGTGGTGCAATGAGTACAAGAACGAGTTGCGTACATTTAGCAGATTGTTGAGGGTTGACTGATTTACTCCGGCAGCCTGAGAAATGACATCAGGTGGAGTGTTGCATATGTAGATATTGTGGTCATCGTAGATGTATGTGGTGTAAGTTAATTGGCGTGAGTCGGGTGAGAGGATAAGGGTAAGAGGATTCTGAACATCGAAGGAAGCTAGGAGTTGGCGTGACTCGTAAGCCCACAGTTTGATAGTGCCGTCTCTAGCAGCACTTGCAAGGAGAGTGCAATCGAATGAAAGTGCTAGACCAGTGACAAGTTTGGTGTGCCCTTCGAAGGGAGTTCCGACAGTCTCCAGTGTCGATGCGTCGAATTCATAGATCATCGTCGAGGCGTAGTCGCCCGTCAAGATGTTTTTGTTTTTGTTTGTCCAAAAAATTGGCGCATATGTGGTTCCTATTTCATCACCAGGTGACCCCATGCTCGCTTCCAATTTCTGCTTTTGGACATCCCAGACCTCAAGGTAGTTCGCCCTATATGACTTGACCGCGAGCTTCTTCGAATCCGTCGAGAATCGAACTGCTCCTACCCACTTGACACTCTTCAGTGGACCAGCCACGGGTTTGCCAGTGTCCAAGTTCCAAATCCGCGCTGTATGATCATTTGCCCCACTTGCCAGCAGTGTACTGTCTGTGGAGATATCAATGCAGGTGATCTCCTCTAGATCTGAGTAGCCTTCGAATGTTTTCACAACCCCACTTTTAACCTCAAAGGCTTTCAGCTCCGGATGCTCATAAACTCCAGCAGCAGTAACAACCCATCGACCATCCATTGATACCGCCACTGCCCACACCGCCTCCTTCCAAACACCCCGCGCTTCCTCAATCTCCTTACCGGCCTTCAGATCCCATTGCCTAGCAGTCTTATCATAAGATCCGCTGATCATTTGCTGGCCGTCAGGAAAGTAGGACATGGATCGAATCTGCTCTCTGTGACCCATCAAAGTTGTTACCGTTGTCAGAGTCGATTTCATGGCGGGTGCCTTCGTCGATGTGGAAGCCATTGTTGCGTCAACGCGAGCGAAACCCGTCAAGTAGGGGCAAGGTGTTCTTTAGATATGTTTGAAGGACTTGCCGTGAGCGCTCCTCGTCTCCTGCAGGTCTGACGTTGATAGTCGATTTGAAGAGTCCTACTTCGCCTCTAGTAGAGCTGATCGTAAGTTCATCTGCGTTGAAATTTTAAATCAGAGTTGATGTTACCAAGAGGCAAACAATGACAAAGAGGAAAGAGTTCTAGAACGTGAGTACAACTGTCGTCCTTGCAAGATGTGCTATTTCTCACATCTGCTTCTTGACTCACAGCCTCTTACAGCTATGAACGTCATTCCTGTGCTAGAGCGCCAATTTCGTTTCTATTTCTCGCCAGTGTTGTTGTGTGCTTGTGAGCCACTGGCGTATCTGGATGGCCCGATATCGTAGCATTCAACCTGCATTCAACCTTTTGCGTTGCTCAGTTTTCGTTGCAGTTTCGCCTTGGACGCCAGTGGACACGTCTTTCCTCGTCCCGTTGTCTCCACCGTTCTCAAGTACACACTCGTCCAGGCTGTCTCGCTTTCCTGGCGCCCTCCACTAACCTACGTCGCACTTTGAATGTATCTGTAACGCTGCAAATGCAAAAATGAAGGGCCCATCTATCAGCGTTCAATTCGAAGTTTTTTTGCGATTATGACTCTGATAAGTTACGACTATGATCATATGTGCTACATAAGCACTCATTTTCCATTTAGCTTCGCTTCTTCGGCCGTCTCGTTCATTATCGGTGCCATTTACTGCGGATATGGGGTTGTCTCAACGCCCAGTGGCATCCGAGTACGTAGGTCTCACACAGGATGGCAGCGCTTCTGGCTTGATTAAGGTAGACGACATTGAAATACAACTAGTGCCGCCATGTGATCACGTGACTGTTCCCACGGCCAAATATCAGAATTCGAAAATCCAAAATCACTATTTGCCTCAAAAATCACTTTGACAACATCAAAAAAATTGAAATTAAAAAACAATAAGCTTTGTATTTTACTCTACATCCACACTTAAAGTACTAGGAGTATCAAAGGAGTATGGTTATGACTGACTACGCACCAGTAGTGCTTACCTTGATTGTGGCACAGCCTGGTGTTATGTAATCTACCATATATGGTTAAAGTGGTATCACGTGACGTGGCCAAATCTACGGGACAAATATTTTATTTTCCGCCTATAGCATCAGAAATGTATTTGGAGATGAAATACAACATATAGAAAAAGTGGAAATAGCTCTCTTAAATTTCAGTTTTGAGAAAATTTGAGACCATCAAGCTATCTAGAGAGGTCTTAGGAACAGATTGGTGCAAAAAGAATGTTTGGAAAGTGGATGAGGAAAGTGCAATAAGTTGTGCAAAATGGTGTCTCAAAATGTAGTTGGATTTTAATGTCGTCTACCTTACCATTGCCACACGTGCCATTATGAACTGATACACGCAGCGCACCAATTCAAATAAGAGTATGAAGAATTCTCACTTGACGGTCATTGGTGTACGGGTCATTAATGATCTGACATGTACAGGCTGGGACATGATCCCCAGTGAAAATCGGACAGTGCGAGAGACGTCTGGAGAGTGCCGCATCGTGCGCCGCCAACTGAAACCGCCCTCGCACGATCTCAACAAGAAATCCACGATGGAAAAGGAGTAATGTCGTGCGTCGTTGAGCGAGGGTCCTTACGGGCGGTTTATATTGTGAGAACAGTTCATATCACATTGCTTGTAGTTACTACAAAAGACGTATACAGTCCCCGGGCCTGCAATACGAATAATAGCACGGAAAGACACAGAACGAAAACAATCGAATGAAGGCAGGAAAGCAGTCCGAATGGTACGCAACGCGGGTGCTCAGTACAAGGTACCGTCGATGACAGCCGCCGGGACCGTGTTTTAGGTTCGAGGGACCCTAAGTGAATAGTCATGTCAGTACCCCTGGTACGAACACGAGAAGCACTCACCAATTGTGCGGCTTTCAACTGGTAAAATTGACAGAAAATGAAGCTCAATACCGTATCAGCGAGAAAAGCAATGACGTACATTCCATGACTACGAGCAACGAAAATTGCGCATATATGCGCCCCATACACCCAAATACACGAGTTGCATACCACCGACATCGAGTAAACCTACATTGGGAACGTATTCGAATGTTTGGGACCAGAGAGGGACATGAAGTAGGCCACATCGCTACTGGACCATACTGGTAGACATGATGGTAGGAAGGGAACATGGTTGTAAGGGAACAAGAGACGCGAACATCGTGAAGTCGGACTTTAGACCTAGAACTTTCCTTGTACACTGAGCCGCAGATGCGAAATTTTTGTGGGATCCCACGTGCAGTTTCGCAACAAGTGCGAGGGGAATACAGAATTGTGGTTTATCTCATCGTCTGAGGGAGTGATGAATAAGCCGATACTTACATAATCCAGTAAGTGTAAATTGTTCTTGGTTACAAGTTGGCCTTGAGGCTCGTGCTCCCACTATTATGTTACTCGTACCAACCCTCTTTGGCTGCTTTCGCATGAAATCGGACAGGGCTGATGCCTGAAGACTAATAACAGGGCAAAAGCGATGACCGACATTCAAACTTCAACTATTGAGAAATACTCAGGCTCGGTGACATCTTTCGCAGTGATCCTCGAGAGAAATGAGGATTGATTCCATCTGACATTCCTCTCGAGGAAGAAAGCCTACCATCCTGGATCCAACTGCTTTCATGTTCATTCACTCAAGCTCTATGATATATGTCGTAGTGAAGTTGAAAGTGGAAGCAATTATAGTTTGTCCCAAATCTTTAGCGGTGCGTCTGTGCTGGCTAGATGAGTCATTGATGGATTCATAGCTCATGGCGGTTTCAGGAAAAATTCGCCATTTTGCACCAACGGGGCCTCGCAAGTTGCCCTGTTCAGCGAGAATCTCTTTGGTTCTTCAGCGGCGTTCGGCCGTCATACACCGTGAAATTTCTGCTCATCCGATTAGCTCGCCTGCACGAAGGACGTTATACGCACCGGTACATTCTTGATCTTGCCCTTTGCATTACCTCACTGCCAGATTCGAAAGAGTGTCGAGCACCCTGTTATGACTCTGAGCTAAGGTAGACGACATTAAAATCCAACTACATTTTGAGACACCATTTTGCACAACTTATTGCACTTTCCTCATCCACTTTCCAAACATTCTTTTTGCACCAATCTGTTCCTAAGACCTCTCTAGATAGCTTGATGGTCTCAAATTTTCTCAAAACTGAAATTTAAGAGAGCTATTTCCACTTTTTCTATATGTTGTATTTCATCTCCAAATACATTTCTGATGCTATAGGCGGAAAATAAAATATTTGTCCCGTAGATTTGGCCACGTCACGTGATACCACTTTAACCATATATGGTAGATTACATAACACCAGGCTGTGCCACAATCAAGGTAAGCACTACTGGTGCGTAGTCAGTCATAACCATACTCCTTTGATACTCCTAGTACTTTAAGTGTGGATGTAGAGTAAAATACAAAGCTTATTGTTTTTTAATTTCAATTTTTTTGATGTTGTCAAAGTGATTTTCGAGGCAAATAGTGATTTTGGATTTTCGAATTCTGAGATTTGGCCGTGGGAACAGTCACGTGATCACATGGCGGCACTAGTTGTATTTCAATGTCGTCTACCTTAGCTCGGTTCCCTTTATTGCCTCTGGAAAAAAGTCCGAGCAGTCGGTCTCTTTAGCCCTGGAAAAGACCCCAAGGACGTTGGCGCCAACGTAAGTTGAATATTCTATTCTCGCCTTGCTGATCTTTTCTTTTTCCCCTCGTTGTTGACTGTGATGACAACCTCCCTCTCGCTATCATCACCCACCCCGAGCCCTCTCAACCATATGCGCGTGTACACGTGTACACTCAAACCCTATCCCTGCCGCTGTCAACCACGACATCCCTTCGCTCCCCACCTCCAAGCGCCACCCCAACAACCTCCTGCAACTGCCATTGAACCCTCCCGCTGCCACCCGCGCCCTTGGGCAACCTCCTGTGCCTTCGATGGCGGCAACTTCTTGCAACCTCTCATTACCCACACCGACTCACCTAACCAAGACCCATCCTGCCGTCGCCTCGCGCCCAACCAGGACCTTCCTCGTGCTCCTGCTAACCTGACGCTGCCGCCACGATTTACCGCACTCTCTCATTGCTCACTTCGGTCTCCTGCGCCTTCTTGTTACTCTCGCACGGCCGCCTGTTTTCTTCGCCGCCTGATGATCTCTCCTCGACCGCCGGCAATTTCTCGTTACTCTGGCACGTATTCCATGGCCAGCCGCGGTACCTTGCTTCTACTCATTTTTTTCATATATTTCCCTGTACACTACCCCTACCTATACAACCCTTATGATTCCTCATCTACTCTATTGTATATCAAAGGTTAGATACATGTTTTTCTGAACATAACAAGGCTTCATGTGGTCTGGACTCGCGAATTCAATTTTTAACAACCAAAGTCATTGTTCTGTAGTTAATTGTCACAGGATAAAAATCAATAAATTTTCGTCACTTTACTGTGATCAGAGTCTTGACCGCCATCAATGTTTTGCAACTAATCACTCGCCAGGCACCAACATAAGGCCCATCTCACAGCAGTTGTAGCGGAGCAAACAGCATTAATATATTGCGCGCGGGGTACAATACATCAAAAATCTAGCTACATAATAATACGAAGTCCAACAACGACAAGAGAGTAAGCTAATAGTGATGAGGACGAGGGAAGGCGACGCAGAAAGAATGGGGGGGATAGGTGCTGATGCCGTTGTGGTGAGGTATATATACAAGTTGGCGATGCTGTCAACTATACCTTGAAGCGAACTGAAGCGAAAATCCCGAGGGAGTCCTGGGGTCTTCAACCCTGTGAATGCCGTGAGTGTGTTCGGATTTTTTATCTTTATGGTGTTGTGAACCGAGCAAGCTCGGAGTCATAACAGGGTGCTACAAACTCGATTCGAAACCCGAAATTTTAAGTACCGGCTGGTCGCTTCAAAAGATCCGTGTCAAGCTTTCGGATATATTTGAAGGAAACTCCCTCATTGACGACACCGACTTCATACAACGTACACCGGCTACCCACACTTGCACAGTATTGAGTCTATCAAGGCCCCGATCTTCACGGGTTACAACTTGGGCCCCCTTCAAAACTCTGATGCGGCGCAATTCTCTCCTTAACTACTTGGCTTCTCTGGAACTTCAGTCCTGACTTTCAAAGGCTTTTACGGGTATGTAATCACCTTAGTATTCATTGTTGTTGGCTTTCAAACAAAGCTTAAGCCGTTCAACATCTGCCCAGCCTATGATTGGGTCATCCTGTGAAGGATACATACTTTGTGGACTTTGACGCATCGTTGCGGCATTTCGTTCATTTACAGAAACCCGGTAAACGTCAGTTCAATGTTGGTTCGATGCATTTTTAGTTGCACGCCTCGGGTAGCAATTACGTACCGCAGCGCTAGATATGTCAGCGATAACCGCCCTGCCAGATTTTTGGACAACATGTCGTCTCACCTGCCAGGCGAATATCGGATCATTGTATGTTCAAGCGACGACCCGTTGCGAGTATGGAACTTGGAGAGCGGGGAATAGATGGGTGAAGACTGGCCAGACGGAGAAGGTGCAGTATAAGCAAGCTTTGGTATTGTCTCCTGACGGGGAGATGTAGTTTGTGGTGGAAATGATGTGGAATACATAAAGTGTTCATCAAATGGACGGGAAACACCATCAGGAAAAAACCACCTGACTACAGCTGACTACATAGTACTATGTAGTCCGTGTAGTCAATGTAGCTCGGTTGCTACATGCCTTCTACATAGCAACTGAAGTAACTATGTAGTGCTACATAGTGCTACATAGCGCTATGTAGCACCACATGGTGCAACTGTAGTAAATCAGTAGTAGATTGTAGTTCATAGGAGTGGGACTCCAAGCAACTATATAGCACACCATAGCGCACCATAGTAGTGACTCAGATTATAGCACATGAAATAGCAACAAATCAATAAATTCAGATCAGTCGATACTAACGGCGGTACTGCTACGACCCTCGGCTCCCGCTCTCACTAGCCTCGCCGCCCACTCTCCTCCTGAAGCTGGTGTTCTCGAATGGCATCTTCAATTGCCTCGTCACTGATTCTGGATGCGTCTGAGAATGTAGTGGGTGTATCTACTACACCTGCATGGAAACTTTGCAAATTAGACTGGCACTTGCAAAATTCGAGTGAAACTCACCGAGCCACGTCATGCAAATTGTCACAAATCCTTTCGAAGAGCTTGTAAGGCGCCGTGCGCTCGTCAAAACGCTGCAGCGAGTTCAAATGATTGTTGTAGACAGATCCATATGTGATGGCTGTGAACCTGATGTCTTCCTTCACGCCCTGCATCCACTCGTCAATACAGCATTCGATCTAACAACAATTAGTAGGCATGTCAATAATAATACGAACGCGAGAGATGACTTACAGTTGTAAGCATGAGCGCAATAAGCTTGATAGGCATGGGGTTGAAAAACTGGTTGTAGACGATGCCCTCGTCGTTTCGGTTTGCAAACCACATGACATTGATACCGTCTTGGAGTAGCTCGGTCTTGTATATCCCCGTCTTCGCTTTCCAGTCCTAATACCACTGTCAGTACATGAAAGTAGACCATTGCACTACATACCTTGAAAACGAACGATGAACCATCTTTCAAGGCTTCCGCTAGATCACGGTTTTGCCTTATAACGTCCCTCAATTCACTCGACCGAAACCCAAAAAAAGTCCGAGTAAGCGACCGCATCTTCATTTTGAGTTCACCGCGCACATGCGATGTGCGTTTCAAGAGCTTTCCAAAGGTAAGATATAATATAAGTCAGTCCAAGAATGCATAGATAACAGACGGCTTACCATCTTAATTGCTAAAGGCGTCAATTTGATGTTGATGCCTTTCAATTGGCAAGCCTCACGCCAGGCTTCTTTTCCCAGCATCGTCTCGTCAGCAATGGAATTTGGAAACGGCGCCTGTGTGACGATTAGACAGTGGAAGATAGAGATTGCGGTTACAAGGATGTCTTTGGAGACATCATCGAAGTCAGTGACTTTTACACGACTCGGCAGACGGGAGCCATCTGAATGTTTCTTCATCTTCAACGCTACCGTGGCGCCCTCTTCAGTGTCGAGCGGTCGCTTGCTAGCCCGAGTAGCAGGTAGTTGTTCCTCGATAGTGTTACCGTCCTCATCGATAGTGTTACCATCCTCTTCGACAGTGTCACCGTCCTCTTCGTCAGTCTGGCCAGCGCCAGCGTCAGATTGATAATTGTCGTTCTTGTCTGAGTCGTCACCAGAAGACTCATCAACGTTAGTGTTGTCAGAATCAATTGGTGCTAGGTCAAACAGACGTGTATTAGTGTACCATCAATTGATGAGCAAAATGACATACCCTTCAACTGGCGTGCACTGCCGCTAGTGATGCGTGATGCCGGGGGTATTTTCCCCATGCTGAATGACAAGACCTTTGTGTTGGACAGCTTCGTCTGCAGAGCATGGTCCAAGAACTAAATAATAATAAAACAATCAGCTACTATTCAAGCGGCGGCAAACAAGACGAATGTGCAAACCATAGTATCTTCATCATGGTCAGCGTCACTATGTAGCTCAGAGGGTTCGATCTCGAAGTCATCAGGGTTCTCTTGATAGGACGCCTTGAGTGCCCGTTTTTTCTGTTTTTCCGCCTTTTTCTCCTTTGTGGCCTGACGACGGACTGTGCTTCGTGTTTCAGATACTGTAGAGAAAGTGAGTGAAAGCATCATATCATAGTTGTGGAAACTCGCCTCGATAGTTTTCTTTTTCTGTTGGTCGGCGTGTTCGGCCTCTTGAGGTGTGCGCAAGCGGTTGATTACCCTGCGGTGACGACAGAACACTTGTCTTTGGGGGCTTGGAGGTGGCCTTGCGAGGGGGCGGCATGATTATTCGTCCTCAAAACACAAGGTGCGAACGAGTCAACAACCTGTAGGTTCAGCAGCTTTTATAATGTTGCGCGAGACATAAACACTTACAATTAGAACCTTGTCTTTGTTGATTCCAGGGTTTGTTGATCGAGCATAATGCCATGCTGAAAGCTGTGTTAAATAGAATGGATAAAATGTAGGGACATACTGCCGCAATAATTTTCACTGCCATGGATACATCCACTTCAGCCAAGAAACGGTGCGGAGCATACTTTCGAACACTCACCCACTCTGACAGATCTTACAGATTAATGTCAGCGGTGTCCACTGACACAGACTCGGAGGCTTGCTATCAACGCCCTAACAGCATCAAAAGGTAATCTACACCTCCTCACCGATACCAAACACTCACTATTTTTCAGGCCGAAGGTTGAGGATAACGAGGAGCCTCATGCAGGCGAGCGTGAAGTGCCCATCGAAGAGGCCATGTATCCGCTCCCCCCCTTCCGTCAAACGCCTGGTCCCATCTCGGTGTCTCAGTCATACATATGAAGACTGATCATAGAGCGTTGGGACGCCGAAATTCGTTACTGCGAGAAAGCAAAGAAATTGCGTCAATTCGAAATGGGACTAGGCCAAGGGAGGCTCACCATCATACAAGCGAGCCTGCAAAGACTTGTTGCAGAGCGCTGGGATGCTGAAGCAAAACATTGTGAGGAGGCAAAGCGGGCACAACTTTTAGAGTTACTTCTTGCCGCTCATGGTATTACTAGACTGGTGTAGAGCCGTGCCGTGCCGTAATCACTGAGACCGAAACCTAAAAAATTTCAGTTGAAACCATAAGCTAGTCTCCATAACGGACTGTGATCTCGGACTGAAGAAATGGACGTACCTGGTGGCGCCCTCAAACTAGTCTCTATAACGGACTGCGATCTGGGGCCGAATAAAACCCACCAGCTAGTCTCTATAACGGACTGCGATCTCGGACTGAAGAAAACCCACCAGCTAGTCTCTATAACGGACTGCGATCTCGGACTGAAGAAAAACCACAAGTTAGTCTCTATAACGGACTGCGATTTCGGACTGAAGAAATGGACGTACCTGGTGGCGCCCTCAAACTAGTCTCTATAACGGACTGCGATCTGGGGCCGTGCACCTGTCAAATTATGTTATGCGTCAAAATGAACCTGAAAAAAAATCAATCCACTTACCAACCATTACCAACCATGCTGCACAACTGCGGTTACTGTGACAAGCCTTTCCATTCAAGTGGGAGTGTGAAGAAGCATATAGCTACCCACCCCGCATGTAAAAGAAAATGGGAGTCTATGGTTAGAGATACAGATGACGAAGACGGCGCACCAGCTTACAACGACTCATTTTCCCCACTTCGCCGCTCGCGCTCCATCGATTTTGAGGAAGACAACCCTATAGCATCTAAAAGTTGACGAGTCACTGTTGAAGAAGTGACGGACAAAGAAGATGGCAGGCGGTACTTTGAACCATATCCTGAAGCTGGTTGGACGTTGCGAGAGGGCCAAACTAGTTTTGAAAGGCATCAGCAATATAAGGAGGGTGAAGGTGAAGATATGTGGGCACCCTTTGCCAATGAGTATGAGTCGCGTTTCTCGTATCTGCAACGAAAATTAACTTTAGTTCTGGCAGGGAAGAATGGGGACTTGCTGAATGGATGGTCAAAAGCCTTGGGCAGACTAAAACGGATGAATTTCTGAAGTTACCGATAGTGAGCTTGGTATCAATGACTGAAGACATGTACTGACCATAGTGATAGACGCGAAACCGCACCAAGCCTTCATTCCATAATAAACGGTCATTCCTACAGAGAGTCGATGCGCTGCCACATGGACCGGCCTGGAATTGTAAGAAGGTTAGCGTCAAAGGAAATCGGACAGATGAGAACGGACAGTCGCTGCATGAGGACCTTGAACTTTGGTCCCGCGACCCTGTAGAATGCATCAAGGAACTTATCGGAAATCCTTTATTCAAGGAATATATGGTGTATGCACCATCACGAGCGTATGAGGACGAAGCGGGCACCGAACGGATCATCGATGATATGTGGACAGCTGATTGGTGGTGGGACAAGCAGGTGAGTAGCGCATCAATTTGATACGAGAAAAAGGTGCTTACCTTCACATCAGAAAGAACTGCCTGAGGGTGCGACCATAGCTCCAATAATCCTCGCCTCCGACAAGACAATGCTATCCCAGTTTTGAGGTGATAAGTCCGCTTGGCCTGTTTATCTGTCAATTGGCAACATTGCCAAAGAGAAACGACGTCAAACATCCGCACGCGCAACCATCCTCATCAGGTACTTACCTGTGACGAAGCTCGATTGTTTCACGTCTGATGCGCGATCCCTCGCTGGATACCGATTGTTCCACCACTGTCTGTCGCTGTTGCTGGAGCCGCTGATTGCAGCCGGTGAGGATGGTGTAGACATGGTTTGCGCTGACTCGTTCATTCGACGAGTGTACCCCATACTTGCGGCCTACGTCGCGGATTTTCCCGAGCAGTGTCTCATTGCTTGCTGCAAAGAAAACCGGTGCCCTAAGTGCTTGGTGGCAGCCGATGAGCGTGGTGATCTGCTAAATTCACTGATCCGAGACCCGGAGCTGACAAAGGAGATACTGGAGAGACGGAGGAGTGGTCAGCACCCAGTAGAATTCGATGAGTATGGACTGAGGCCGGTGTATAAACCTTTCTGGGCCAACTTACCACACACCAACATTTTTTTGGCATTCACGCCAGATCTCCTCCACCAACTCCACAAGGGGGTCTTCAAAGACCATCTCGTCAAATGGTGCCTCGACATCGTGGGAGAAACCGAACTTGATGCTCGCTTCAAGGCCATTCCAGACTATCCTGGTCTCCGTCACTTTAAAAAAGGTATATCGAGCGTCAAGCAGTGGACCGGAACTGAGCACAAGGAAATGCAGCGCGTTTTCATGGCGCTAATTACTGGTGCAGTCCCAAGGTATTTACTATGATATTCTGTTTTTTTGCTCAGTTTTGACGAATTGAGTTGCTTTGATTCACAGTCGAGTGGTCATTGTCACGCGGGCCTTACTGGATTTTTGCTATTACGCACGACTTCATACACATACGAGCGAATCCCTGGACTGTCTGGAGAACGCCCTCACCGTTTTTCACGCTCACAAGGATGTGTTACAGGAGCTCGCAGTGCGTGAACACTTCAACATTCCAAAGCTACATCAATTGTCCCACTACGTACAGTCAATCAAACTATTCGGAGCTGCAGATGGATTCAACACCAAACTTCCCGAGCGCCTCCACATCGACTTCGCTAAAGAGGCTTACCGTGCAAGTAACAAGCGCGACTACGAGGAACAGATGGCGTTATGGCTTCAACGCCAGGAGGCAGTCTTCTGCCGATCCACTTACCTCGAATGGGTGGCTGAGCGTGCCGCTCGCCGGACAGACCGGGAATCTGAGTATGATTCCGACTCTGATGCTGAAAACGAGGGCTTTGATGTGGTGCCTGTTGTTTTGCAGGATATCATTCATGTTCTGGCGAAGACTGCCCCACATCCTCGTCGATCTGTTCAACATCTCGAAACCATGCATGGCGCCGTTGATTTCCTGCCCGCTCTCACATTATTTTTACAGGGGCGTTTGCCGCACAATCATAGCATTGTGCCTGGTCCCCAAGATCGTTTTGACACTTTCCGACAAGTAGTTATCATCCTTCCCCCCGACCCTCGTGTGTCCGAGTTGCCCAAGTGCCTACGGGTCAGGGCGACGCCTGAAGTGCTTCCTTCGTCTTCTGGACGGAAGCCAGGTTCCCCCAATCGATTTGACATGGCACTGGTTAGCAGTGATGGCGTCCAAGCATCGAAGGCACTACTCACGCTGAATGGTATGTCAATGGCTTCCATTTTACGAAGTATTACAATGACAATATCTAAATTATAGCCGCTGTCCGAGTTGCGCAGGTCCGTGTGTTGTTCACGCTGCCTCGTCAATTTGGCGCATACCCGCGACCCCTTGCGTACGTTGAATGGTTTACCCCGTTCAGAGAGCCAGACGAGTCGTCTGGTCTGCGTCTAATCTCTCGTTCAACTCGTCACTTGCGACGGAATTCGGCCGTGATTCATGTTGACGAGATTATTCGTCCATGTCACCTCATACCCAAGATGGGTCGATTGGTCAATCCTACGTGGACGAGCGCGAATGTGTATGAGTTGGCGAGTGAATTTTACTTAAATCCATTCATTGACCTCGAGACTTTTTGTATGTCCACTACGAGTACTTAGATTGATTTAGAATAGGACTATTGGCTACTACAGTGAATACAACTACTCCCAGCGCCTCCCGTAGCTCTACATAGCCCCGTATTTAACTACATATCACTACAGTGACTATGTAGCAATATGTAGTTGTCACTGGAACTACACCAATATTTGTTTTTTCCTGATGACCGGTGAAGTGTTGTTTGTCTGTTGGAGTCAAGGCGTAGGGCTGATCTATTAAACGATGCAACAGCGACCTTGGTTGGGTATAGCATGGGTATATCCGTGGGTCAGAAGATCTAACATGCGGTATAGGCATCAGCAAGGGTGTGGGATGTGGAGAGCCATTCGAGACAGAACATTCCTACGTTGGGTATAGCCATCTGCCCAAAAAACGTAGACTGGTGATTACGTTAAACGTCAATCCGGACCTCAAATAAAAATTCATGTAGGCTCATGTGTTCATCCCAGTTCTACGAAGCGTAAGAGTCAAATTCTGAACACTGAAGTGAGAGAACCTGGATTGGCATGCCAAGGTAACGTAACACCGTACTCATGCCCTTGACAGGTACACGTGAACGTGGATTGTACCGTTCACACTCCGAATTTCCAGGTGGTTCTCTCAAACGACCCAGGTAAATTCTCAGTTCAGGGTCTCAATTAATATCGCGGCTTTCTAGGACTTTCTTCATAACATCATTAGAATGGATTCAATCAGGTTCACTGTTTTAAGTCCAGTGCACTGCGCGGATCAGTCCATGGCGACCCGCATACCGCAATCCCGGTAAAATCGTTCCTCTTTGCGCGGACTGTCTGAACTTGAATAGGCTTCATGGCAAATCTTTAGCTCGTCTCGGTCCCTGCCTACTACTCTCCTATGATCTGGCGTTTCGTCGGATTTCTCCGAACTCACGTCAAAATTGCGGAAATCCTTTTGCTGGCTAATATCTAATCCTCACAGCTTTCTTTCTCGCGAGGCTAAGTGACTCGGAGAGTCCAAATAGACTACCAGCAACCCTATACTACTAGTACATGTATAAGTTTACTGTGCGCAGAATTTCCTGTGCATCCGGATACATTGCATGTTTCAAGTGCCACAGGTTCGTGTCGATGTAATGCATTATTTACTGTAATTGTAACGCACCAGTGATGCATTTTCCTTGCAGTTGTAGCGCTCTTTCCTCCCCTACAGTAGTGAGTACTGCTAATGCATCACTCTCCCCTACAATACTGGGTCCTGGTGCATCCCTGATGCATCAGCCTGACTCGAGCAGATGCATCCCTTTCACTGATGCATCCGCTTGAGTCTGGCTGATGCATCCCGTCTGATGCATCGTCCCTCCCGCCCTTCGTGCGTTGCTGCCCTGATGCATCCCGTCTGATGCATCATCCCTCCCGCCCTTTGTGCATTGCTGATTCATCCCCTCCCGCCCCTCGTACATCCCGCCCTCCCGTCTGATGCATTGTGATGCATAATTCTCCCCCTCCCGCCCTTTGTGCGTTGCTTATTCATTTCCTCCCGCCCTCCAATATAATCTGGCGCATTGCTGATTCGTCCCCTCCCGGCGCCCTGATGCCATGGCACGTTATGATCATAGTGCATGTATTAATCAATCTACGTCTATCGAGGCCATTAATCAATCTACGTCTACCAAGGCCAGTGTCTCCGCCCAGCGTGCCTCAAACGATGACGCTAGATGTCGGCGCAAGTCAGCCTGCCGTTTCGCATACGCCACACAGCCATCCTCGTGTTCTGCATTGGTTAGTGTAGCGTCGTCTTGCCTTCCATCCCAGCGTGCTGCTTCCTACCTTAGAAAAGCTAATATACGCCGCATTTCTTCCTGCAGGAGTTGTACTTCTTCCCCCCAGTGCATTGCGCGTGCCCTTGCCTTACACCACTCTATCCTCATATCTGTTGCACCATGAGTAAGAGAATCATTTTGTAGTATCGCGCTTACCTTCTAGAGCACCGTTATCGTCCTTCTCACTTCCCGCAGCGCCACGCATATTCCATATCCACGACAATTTTCGTCTGCCCTCCGATTCACCCCAGAGCAGGTCAGACATAGAACGAATATCCTGACGATTTAAAGGACGCAGTGATGACTGCCAGCCAGACTCGTTCAGGAGTCCGCCCAGGATCACCAGGGCCTTGTGTGCGCCTTCGTATTTGCTGGCAGCAGCATCGATTCTCACGTCGATCGTCTTAAGCGTGCTACGTGCTCGAGTATTGGCTCCTTGCCCTCGAAGGTTGCGGTCCTTGTACCTGAGTACGGCAGTCTGTGCACGAAGGTTGGAGCGTAAGGAGCGGAGGGCATCATGGCCTTGTGCGTATCTCAATCTCCATTCTGTCCTCTGGAGTCGTTCGTCACAAGGCGCCAGCCTGCCGATCTGTGATGGCAACCGCAGATTGAATGTTTCTGCAGCAGGGACGGACGTGGCGTTGGCAGAGCTTGATTTGTCCAAGAGACGCATAGCAACGACGTTGGGCATATACAATTCTTGAATTTTTGACCAGGCATCAATCCGTCGTTGCAAAGTGTTACTCCGCTCAAGCAACTTCCCTTGTTGATTATCAGTGACGTGTATACCACACCCGCTCTTGTCGACTCTCAAACGTCGCCTGGGAGAGGCTTAGTGGCATCATACGCAAGGATGAGAGAAAACGCACTGTTGTTCTTCAAGCTCCAGCCCTGAGCTAATCAACACACTCGGAGAACAGTCCTCGTGCAATGCGAGGGATGCTCCACTCTGAAGATCTGATTCTTCTTCCTTTGCGAGTGCTAGCCGGACCGAAGCCAGCGTAATGACTGTGATTATAACAAATCAGGCACTTGGCGTCACTTCGACCAATAAGTGAACGAACCATCTGCATTTCGCTCAAAAGGGTTTGGCTGAGACTGGTCATCCTCCCATGCCTCTACTTGCAACCTCCATTGATTCAGAATATCCCCGTACTCATCCTTTAATCCTTCTTCCAAGTCGTTTAGTGCAGCTTGCTGATTCGCGCGCTCAGGTAAGGCCTCCTTCATTTTACGTAGCATTGTAGTACCTAGTGAGGCAGATGAGACTAGCATCACGATACAACAGAGATACGCACCAAGGCCCACAATTTTCTTCCAGTTCGAATCGCCAAAGAAATCGTCCAATGTATCACGCCTTGCGCCGGGCCCCATCTCCTTCGTACTGGATGCGACGGGATTAATGTTAGCCCACCCGCGCTCCGGAGCTTCGCCATCGGTTCGACCAACACCACGCTTGAAATTGAATGAGAATGTTGTTTGACATTTCTCAATGTGGGCAGGGAGATGGAATTTCGGGACGAAGAAGGAGACGGCCCTCGATACGAAATTGAAGTGCATTGAAAGCGGAAACCCCTTCATACGTTGCCAGAGCTTCTTGTGCCATTGACAGGCAATGTCGTACGAAATGTTGAGATTTTGTAAGGAGCTGTGACGGAGCGTTGAAAAAAGAGGTAGTCCATATTGACGTATCTATTGGCGAGCACCTATCAGCGCATACAAATGTCAGCAATTGAGCAGACTCACTTCTCTCCCTTTTGCGAATCTCCAACGGCATTCGGACGCTTCATGTTGTGATGGGCACAGTCGATCGTGCCAAGCCCGGTAGCAGCTAGCCCCCTATTAGTCTTCGCATCAGCCATATTTACCGCGTTGTGGCTGGAGCACGTAGATTTCTAAAACGAATCAACGAGGGAACAGCATAGCAAAGGAAAGGCCTCACCTCTTGGGGGACGTCCATTTTATCTTCGAGAAATTGCTTGTATGTATCCTCCTCTACAAAGTACGCCCAGCCGCGACTTAATCCCGGGTCCGCGGTATTAGTTGACACCACTTTGCGTTTGAGACGAAAGTTTGCATCGATAGCGATGAATAACGCGTATATCCAACTAATCAAATGTTTAGTGAATGACCAATGACAGTACTTCTAGCTCACCGTTTTGCAAGGGGAACATTCTCCCAGTCCTCGGGCAAATTTTTACCCGGGTGCGGGCATGCTGGGCACAAGACCGCACACTCACCCTCTCCCGTGGCTTTCACCCCTTTCGGGTCATGCCCTCTCCCAAAATGTTTAAGCATCAGCAGATGCCGCCATTCGCGGATCATTCTCATAAAAGATTCATATCGGTCCTGAGAACCAAATAAGTCTGTGCGTGTACTAATAATCAATGACGAACCTTAACGCGCGTCAAGCCAGTGTTATCAGTGCCCCGCATAAGAGCACTATAAAATTCGTAAGCGGACACCTTCGACTCGAAAGACAGCAAGTGGAATTCATCCAGAACGCGAAAGGTTGCTGCGGTTTTGGGGTCGGCCGTCGTTGAAGGAAACCACGACATACGGAGTAATTGCTGTATATGGGAATCTCCCTTCGCACAGGCACAGAAATCTACTAACACCTCGTGGATGCCATAGGAATCGATGACAACGAAGTTGTCGTTGAAAGCTTGTCGGGGGTTTGGGCACTTCTCGTTGAGCGCGTGACCCAATTGAATACGGAGGCCGAGGCTCTTGAGGGTCACACGTTCGAAATAGTTGCCGTTCCATTTCTGTGTAGATCAGTCAGACCTTATATATAAATAGAAATACCATACTGACCTGCAACCTGTGCAATGGATGACGTTGATGAGCCACCGTGATGCAAGACGAACAGCGGAGATCTACTCCGAAGCAATCTTGGCATTGATACTGAGGGCAAGCATTGCCACAACTAGAACAAGGCGCTTTGCGGAGCCCCCCTCTGCCCTCAAGGCGCAACATTTCCTCGAGGAACAGAGAACAATGATCTAACCACATGAGTAATGGATGATCCTGGATTGCGTGAGTGGTTTGAAAGGGCAATCTGACCATTACACTTACCCCTGCAGTACGTGGTTTTTTGTAAGGTTGGACGTCATCTGACGAAGGTGCAACATCAATATCTGATGTACCATAATCGTCGAAAGGATCCGGCATGACATTTGGTGAAGGTTCCCGCGCACGGGATGATTGTGCATTCTCGGGAGGTTTGATGTAGGAGCGTTTGTAGCTGATAGAGCCATTGTGAACATAGTAGTTGGTATGTTGTCTTTGCTGGGCCGACTGCGTGGAGGTCCGTGTGTACGAATTTAGCGCTGGTTTCTTCTTCCGTTTCTTCGTTAAGGCTTGTAAGGTGTTGCGAACCTCCTGTGTGCAGTGTATGACTTGAACTGGGGGTGAGGACGAAGGCTGCGCAGATGATGAAGCAGAGGTGCCATTCATGGTCACGAAATCGACTAGGTCGTCACGGTGTACACCCAACAATCCAATCCCAGTGTAGCTACATATGATATTAATTATAATTTAGTAAATAATGCTGAGGGTGTTCTTCGACTTACCTATTTCTCTGAACGCCAGTGTAATTTGGCAATGGCAATACTCTGTCCATGTGCGAACAGCCAGAAATCCTTTAACTTGGATGACATTGCGAATTGGTAACGCACTGCCTATTCGCCGCCAGGTTATTATGTAATCGAGCCTCTTCCACTCATTCTTGCTGTTCCTACTTTACATATGTACTGACTTCGCTAATGCATCATCCAAGGTGTATAAAGGGTGGTCGTCTAGCCAGGTGAGTCACTCATAGTTCTCCTTTACCAATGATGGTGTCCCACAGTGTTTCGAACAATGATGTCGTCTTTGGTACATATTTTCTCAGTCGATTGATCACCTCAATGCTTACTCGTGGTTTCCAGATGTTGTATTGCAACTTCTAGCCTCACTGACGCTTTCCGCAAACGACGCTCACAATTTGATACAAGTCATCGTCGACAGCACTGGACTAGAGAGCCCTGGGCCCTCTGCTGCCTCTCCCACCACAGATGCACAGACATTGGTATCTCCCGCTGCCCAGACTCTGCCCACCATTGCTCCCGCTGCTCAGGCCTTGCCACCCACCCCTCCTGCTGTTCAGCCCCTACCACCCGTTGCTCAGCCCCTGCCACCCGCTGCTCAGGCCCTATCGCCTGCCCCTCCCGCTGCTCAGGCCCTGTCACCCGCTCCTCCTGGCCCCGCCCCTCCCACTCACATTGATCTTCCTAACCCTAATGTGCACAATGAACACTTACCCGATCTCCCAACAAGCAGAGTCATGGTCAACGGGGAGGAACACCTTCAGCAGCACTATAAAGGCTTTACCTTTGACATTCCGCATCCAGATGCTAGAGGCCCATTCTACATTGTTACTCGTGGTCGCCGGGTTGGTATATTCAATACATGGTACGTCTCTTTTCTGAATACGGTTCTTTATTCTGACATTCTATCAGGACACGTACTTCTCCCCACGTTCTCGGAGTCAGTTGTTCGTCTTACACTCGTGCGAGGTCCTGGTCTGACGGCGTCCTTCGCATGCTTGATGCAATCAAGCTTGAAGAAGCCAGGTGGCTGCCTTGAACGGACAATGTGCAACTCTCGAATGTAATGTACTTACTTGTATATCTACCGTATATTATGTATTACCTCCTGAAGCGTGCAATATAAATTTCTTGGGTTATTGTCGTGCTTGGTGAATCAGTGCAAGAACTTCATGTGATCGCCGTGAAGCGCAGTCTGTGAATCACCGCAAGAACTTCGTGTGATCGTCCGTGAATAACGAGACATGATGCATTAGCTTGGTGCAGTAGGTAACTAATCTAAATAAGGTACGATGCACGGCGAACATGTCCGAACCCCAAGAAGCAGAATTTGAGTCTATAACGCGGTGATATTGGGAGAGTTCTGATACAGCAGCTCACCTCGCGCGTGGTGGTCAAATAGGGTATGCGGGTCAACCATAACACGCATGAGGATGTCCTCCAATGCTTTTGTGAGACCAGCGACCCTTCCGGCAGTGAACTCCACCTGACGTATTTCCTTCCCCACACCATGGCTTTGGAGAGTGGCGCAATGATACTCCTGAACCCGCTGTCTGAGTGCATCTACATCTGCCAGCAAAGTCTCAATGGACTTAATCCAATGCTCGACGGCTGCGGTGCCTCTGAAATCTTGGACTAACTGGTCGAGAAGCTCTGTAGAGGAGCCGTTTATAAGACGGGTCAGCATAGCCTCTACGTCTGCGATGTTGGTATTCGTCCTGCTTTGCAAAGAGTGGTTGTTAGTAATTTTAAGAGATGAGATGATGCCCTTGTGAGACTCACCGACTGGAGTCAGAATGACGATGTTGGCTGCCAAAATTTAGTGCTGTTACGGTTGTGGTAAACGTTCAGGAAACATACCTGCAACTCGGAGACGTTGTTTTTGGTCCTCCCGGGTCTGCTGTTTCCTGAGGGCCTGCATTCGCACTACATAGAATACAAGAATAAGTACAATCAGGATAGTATCATATACTGGTCGAGGAAATGAATATTGACTTGCCGTCGTGCTCGATACTTTTGTTTGTGCTTTAAACTGATAATAGCACTGTTCCTGTGAAAACATTGATCGTAGATGAGATTGATATGCACCGCCAAATGTGCACTGCTGACCTGTCATAATACGTTTTTCGGTAGCGACGAGTTGCTTCGAGTTTTTCTTGGGGAGTATTGTACAATCGCGGGCGAGTCATATTGAAGCTGCTATATGGGAGGAGTAAGTGCGGTGAGTTAGGCTTATACAATGTGAGCCTTAGATTAGTGCTATTTACACGAGATTTACAATATATTGTTCTGTCGCAGTAGCCAACGACTGATCGGCCAAGATCGCCATGCTCCAGCATGTTCAGGAATGCCACAGGCGTCATTAGATACAGATTTGACTTTGAGATTGAACAGGACGCACTCTCCATAATCCAACCTACTATATTTTACACGAGATTTATGAACGAATGGTTCATTTGTGGCGGAAAACGACTATTAAGCCAATTTGAATGATGCTGTAGGAAAATAAGCAATCTGAAGGTATCATTTGGCACATGTATTCACATGTATTCACATAAAAACATGGGCTAGCGAACATATTCTCCACATCAGACCCTATCTACTAACTGGCAACTAGTTCTTACTAATTAGTGTACAGTGCCGCTGTATTGTATACACGGTCACCCCCAGCAGCTTGTCACAGTAAGCTATCAAAATAATTCACACCACTCTCGAATCTCATTGGACGATGTCTTTATCATTACACCTATATACTAGCTACAGATATGAACATAACACGACATAACGCACACCGTCAAACGGCACTCCCCCGCTGATGTGTGCTGGCTGCTAAATTTGACGTCCCGCCCGAGTTACATGGTGCTGCCTTCAGCGGAGCTTAAAACCTAATTATTTGAGCGTCAGCGGCAAACATACTTGACAAGTCACTAGTCACTGCCGAAATATTCAGGTACGTGATTGATTGTTTCCGAGTTAACGTTCGCGCTTTGACAGTCAGGATAGCCATGCCGCCGGATTCAATATATTGGACAAGCGAACAACTCGAGTGGATGGATGACCAGGTTGCCATATACTCTTGGTGCTACGAAGACAACGATCTCTTGCTCTTCTGGCCATCATTATTCGAGGTGTATTTCTTGTGTTGGCCAGAGCGTCAGATCTTACTGCCCGACATCCCCGAATCTCAGGTTCTAACTGATGAGCAGCATCGCGCATTGTCTGAGGCGGAAGATTGTCGTAAATTCGTACGTGCTTCACAATTACACTACTATCTACAAGCTAAGTCGCTATGCTAGCGCATTAAGACGTGGCTTGAATATAAGCGAACTCTCTCTTCAGCTTGGATCCCATATTTACCGTTTCTGACGGGGTCCACGGATGAGCGACAGGCAGTCTTGCAGTTGGAGGTTGATGTTGATTGCGCTGGAAAACGTGCTTAGAAGCGGAGATGGCATCAATTGAGGAAGCATGAAGAGTACAGTACAATTTGGAAACTTGTGAACCATCTTGAACCAATTTAGACGCTATAACTAGCACCCACTTGAATTCCTCAGTGATACATAGCTAGCTCTGAACGAAGTTGTCTGGACAGGATCCTCCACACACTTGATTCTGGCCTCCCAAGGCAACAAATGAAAAAAATAGGTCTGTGCGTGCGATGGTGAATGTGCGCCTCCAGGATACATAAGACTTGTACAACATTCGAGCGGAGGCTTGCCTAAAGATTTAGTGAAACCGTACGTTCGTGCTGAGATCTTATATTATTAACAGTACGACATCGCAACATTTTACGAAATTACTCACAGGGGACTGATTGTATTACAGATGCCGCCAGCTACATGGGCCTCGAAGGAACAGACGCTCTGGCTTCGAGAACAGTTACCAACATACGTGGAATTTGCGAAAGAGGGGCAGTATACTCAGTTCTGGCCTATACTCAATGGCGGATGGTTCGGAAAGTATCCGGAGCACGCAGTTCTCTTTCCCGACATCCCCGAGGATTTACTTTCTCCAGAGCAAGTGAGCGCTGTTGAGGAGGCCAAGACAGCGCGCAAAGTAGTAAGTGTATTTTTAACATAATAAAATAGGGCTGCACTGACCAATATCCCTACCCTAGCAACTTCAAACATGGTACCGGTGGCGCACAAATGGTTCCAAAAAAAACCGCAGCCTGAAGAAGACGTCAACTGTTTTCGACAATGCCTTGCAGCCAAAGAGACGTGCAAAGACCGAGGCTGAGATCTATTCCGAAATGTATTATGATGAACGCATCAAGCCATTGGTCGTGGCTGAGGCGGAAGCCGGCAACGTGGCAACTTCTGGAAAGCGTGTGGCACTCGGCCGAAAGTTCTCGAAGGAGTTGCTTGAAGATGAGTCCGAGGACGTCAAGGCTGAAATTCGTGCGAAGTATGAGCAACGGCTTAAAGCTCTCAAGAAGGGCGCTAAACGTGGCACTCACTTTCTTGACGACAACGACATTAATGATGGTGACGAAGAGATGGATGCAGAGGTTATCGCACGGTATGTTTCATTTAGACCTAGTGGTTCTATTCAGACGGGCCAACACCATTTGCAGGGGTATCGATGACTTGCCTGTGATTTGTCATCGCTTCGCACAACTTGTGAAGCAGAAGACCCGGTTTGTCGTCTCGTTCATGTTTGCTGGGCCCGATCCAAGGAATGACTGGGACATGACGACTTTATCGTGAGTGGCGTGGCTTACTATGAATTTACGGCGACTCACGTGACACGATTACAAGTTGTCACCCATCGGAAACGCCCAAAGGAAAATCCTTTCATGAGTTGTATGAGACGGCTGACAGAGCATTCCTGGAGGCCTTCCAGCAGTATGCCGAACTCATCTTCCGTAAGTCTTTTTGCACTGTTTTTGGGTCACTCACTGAATGCACGACCAGCTGCAAACAAGCGCAAGCCTGATGCAATCACGACGAATGGAGATGATAACTGCGCCAAGAAGTCTGAGGAGGGCGATGAAGGCGAGCCCGAAGAGGATGACGGACAGCTGGTAGAGGAAGATTCTCAGCAAGGGAAAGAGACTCAGCTATGCGAGTTTGAAGGTGGTAGAGCTGGGACGGGGATGGGGAGCTCTGACAATGGTGAGTGGTCTGGTCTTTATACGTTCTTATTGCGGGCTGATGCTTTGGTCTGATGCATCCATTAGGTGATGCATCAGCCGGTCCTGCGACAGCCTTCTTTTCCATCCCCGGTGCATCACTTAATGATGCATCAGCTGCGCCTGGCTTGGGTGATATTAATCATGCATCAATGGCGCCTGGTGCATTGGCGGGGGCGATTGAATCAGTAAGTACCTTTTCACAGATTACGCCATCTATTTCTTTTTGATTAACATTTCAGAACGACGCGGGGTGCGGTAGTCATGTGTATGGTGCGCAGGCGGCCGTATACAGGACACAGGCTCAAGCCTATGAGACGCAGACTGAGCTGCCATACAATATGCATCCACCTCTGGGTTATGATATACAGGCTAATACCACGTACGGGACGCAAGCCCACCTTGCCTATAACACGGCCGCTCATCCAACCTACAACTCGGACTCACAGGCTCAGTACCACACCCACGCCCATGCTCATGTAGCTCAGGGCAGTCATGCATCACTCTCCGGAATTCACGCACCCTTCCAGGCCGTCCTCCCTCACATTGATGCATCATTTCAGTCTCAAGGATCCTCGCTCCCGATGCAGACAGACAACTACCCTGGCTTCAGTATGCCCCCTTCGGATTCATTCACACAGACTGTCATCACCCCCAACTTTTCATTCGCTGAGGGATTGCGGCATCCAAACTGGAACTTCAATGATCTAGGCTCTCCTACTCCTCAAAGCGGGTGGCGACTCTCAGATATTCTGTCCCCCACTCCTGCAGAGCGCAGTAGCCTGGACGCTGAAGTCAATGATGACTCACTTCCTACTATGCTGCCACCTGTTCCCGCTCAGACCAACGGAGACTCACTTCCCATTCTGCCCTCGCCTGTTGACTTTCTTCCCGTTCCGCCTTTGCCTGCTGTGCCTTCTCTCGTTCCGGCTCCGGGTATGGATGGAACGTCTCGCCCTCCTATCACGAAGGCTAGTGGAAAGCCGAAACATGCAAACAAGCGTCCCAATGCTAAGTCCGCGACTAACTGCACTGTGTCCAAGCCCTCGGCTGCTGCGAATACGATTACTCAGTCTGCCCCCGCTAAGAAAAGAAAAGCCAAAGCAGCCACCACAAACCCTGCCCCCAACCTCGAGGTCAGCGCCGTAACAACCAAGCCTTTACCCGTTCCCGTTCCCGTTCCTGTTCCAGTGGCCAATGTTACTGGAGGCGCCACCAGTGGTCAAAGTCAGTCGGAGGGGGTGGTGTCTCCCATTAACGTTGACTCTGCAGTACGCAGCAAACGTGTGCCAAAAAAGGTCTAGGCGTAACGAGGCTGCAGACTGCAATTGGCACCGATGGTGTCTCGTTCTTTGCTGGAAAGGAAAACACATGCCTGGATGCAGAAGCAGCGTCTTCATTGAAACGACCTGCACAGAATGAGGCCCCCAGCGCTCCCAAGTATGCTACTGTTCTAACTTCTTACTTTTGCGCATACTGACGTCTGAATCAGGAAAAAGCGAACCAAGGCTTAATTGTTCTCCAAGCTTACGCCCCTAGTGTCTGTAATACTATCTCTACCTTGTAGGCTTATACTCTGTTTTCGCGAGTGAATATATTGCGTCTTCTTGCCGAAAATGTTCGTTGAATTTTTGACGTATAAGATGAGATCTTAGTGTAGAATATTGGCACATCTGACTTCAATTATAGTTTTTCAAAATGCCAAGTGGACTTTGTAAAATTCAACGCGATGGAGATCACGTGGGCAAAATCAGACGGTGCAGTATGTACTAGTATATAGATTATCGCGTCTTCTTGCCGAAAATGTTCGTTGAGTTTTTGACGTATAAGATGAGATCTTAGTGTAGAATATTGGCACGTCTGACTTCAATTATAGTTTTTCAAAATGTCAAGTGGACTTGTAAAATTCAACGCGATGGAGATCACGTGGGCAAAATCAGACGGTGCAGTATGTACTAGTATATAGATCGACATGCAAATAAAACCGCGCACAACAGTGGCGGCGGGCAGGTGGACGATGCACCAGTCCTAAAATGGCCGAGCTATTGAAACCGAGCAGCAACGGCAGCGGGAGGCGGGCAGGTGTGTGATGCATCAGTCCTAAAACTGACCAAGCTATTGAAACCGCGCAGAAACGGCGGTGGCGGGAGGTGGGCAGGTGCATGATGCATCAGTCCTAAAACTGACCAAGCTATTGAAACCGCGCAGAAACGGCGGTGGCGGGAGGCGGGCAGGTGCATGATGCATCAGTCCTAAAACTGACCAAGCTATTGAAACCGCGCAGAAACGGCGGTGGCGGGAGGCGGGCAGGTGCGTGATGCATCAGTTTTAAAACTGACCAAGCTATTGAAA